TGACGCGAATTTCCTTGCGCTTCTTTCCCGAAAGCCCTCCATCCCGCCCTGACATCTTTCCCCTCGTTTGTTAATAACGAGTGCGTCGGATGTTCTTTGAGACATGGGACCAATTTCATATCCATCAGCCCGGAAATAGGACACTTAATTGAAACCTATTATTTAAACAGTTACAGCCCTTATCCGAGTTTCCATGCTTGGAAAGCATGCGTAAAAAAAGTATGTTCTTGGCCTATTTCTATGAATACAAATATAGTGTTACGTCCCGCGTAACGCCTCCTGCACGTGCGTTCATAAATAAATAAATATATATATATAAAAATCCTGCACGTGCATCGGCTCGCGCATCGGACTGAGACCGGGAGGCCCATGTCGCTTACGAAAATAGTAAACCTGTCACTTTTTGTTTAGACTCAAGCAATTCGGGGCCACCCTGTTTCGGTCCCGCGACCCGCCGACCCTGGGAAATAGCGAGTAAGACAGCGGGGTCCCTACTTGAAGACTCATAAAGTCTAGGATAGGGAACAGGGACCCCCGCGATAACCGACACCACCCCTGCACGTGCGAGGCCATAAATTCGGCTCGAGTTTTAAACATTTACTCTTCAAAAAAAAAGGTAACGTCAAACTCCCTCTCCTAGCAACATTTTTCCTAAATTTCCCCACTCCAAGCCAATTCCTCCAACCAAAGGTCCCAAAATCCCACTCATCCCCCGAAATCCTGATTTTCCAATTCCTCTTCCAATTAGAGCCTTCCAAATCTCACTCTTATACATTTTGCCCATTTAACAATTTTTCCAACTCCCACCACCCCAAATTCCTCCAATAGGAATTTGACTTTTACCCTTACCCAGATTTTGGGGCCTCAAACGTCGGGGGTGGAAAACATATAAAACTAGCGTTCTAGCTGCGAGCACCAGAGTTTTTATTTTTCCAATTCAAAGCGATTTCTCTTTTCGACTACTCGAGTTACTGAACCTCGGTTCTCACTTAGTCCATTCGCGACCGTTTATTCGAGGATCCAGCTCCAAAGGAAATTTAAGGTATTTAGAAACACTCTCACACATACACACACACACGCACCTCTTACATTTGTAAACCCAAAAACTCCTTAAATAAAACCTTGTGAACCTAACGAAATCTCCCTCTTTTCTTTTCTTCCTCCCTTAAAATCCCAATAACGAAAAGGTCCGCATAGGATTTGCTGAGGGGCCCATAGATTTCTCTATTTCCTTTTCCTTTCCATTCCGATCATACTGAGGGCGCGGGGGCTAGGTCACGCCTCCCCTTCGGTATTTCGGATATCCCCATTTCAATTCCTCAATTTCTCAAATCCTCAATCGTAAGGAGGGCGCGGGTGCTAGGTCACGCACCCCCTTCCACATACGATAAAACCTATCCCCTTTTCCATTCCGATCATACTGAGGGCGCGGGGGCTAGGTCACGCCTCCCCTTCTGTATTTCGGATAAACTCTCCTATTTCTTTTTCCCTGTTGCGATTCCTCCCAGACGTAACAATAGAGATTCTATAACATGATATACAAATTTAATTAGTTAGTTTGACCCGTTAAGTAAATAATCATCGCAATTGCGAGCTCGAATCTCAGTTTCTTATTTTTCGAGGCAATGAAGGACTAACGCCTGATTTTTTTTCTGTAAACTTGGAGTTTCTCATTCTTCTTTTTCTCAAGGTTTCTCAGTTGATGAGGTTTAAGCACCCCCTTGTCTAGTGGAGGAGAGCAGTTCCGTGTCTAAGTACTCATACCGGGGGCAATCTTGCCTCCGCTTCCCTTATCATTAACGCGCGTGTCATTGCTCTTCGAGTTCATCGATGCGAGTGCAACTTCGATCTCGAAGGGTGTTATCAGAGAACTGTTCCTTGCGTGTCTCGCGAGGAGTGGCTGCATTGCACCCCTCGCAAGAAGTAGCTGCCATGCACCCCTAGTAAGGGTACGAGGGGTAGCTAACTTCAACCCCCCCCGAGAGGTAGCTACATTTCACCCCCACGAAGAGTCACATTACCCTCTCGTGCGAAGAATAACGATATTGCACCATTTGCAAAATGTAGCTACATCGCAACCCTCGCAAGAACAAGCTGCCCCAAATCTTTGCAAAACGTAGCTACGTTGCGTTCTCGGGAAGAATAGTTGCCTTGCACTCCTCACAAGTAGTAGCTTCCTTGCACCTTTAGTGAGGGGTAGTTACCTCGCACCCTTCGCGTAGTGTAGCTGCCTTGCACCCTTCGCGAGCACCCCCTGATGTAGCTACTAAGGGGACGCGACGTGGGCGAACTTTCACCCGGCAAAATTTCGCCCGGCCTGACGGGGTGTACACACCCCCGGAAACCTCTTCGGGAAAAGTTTCCTCATTTCTCGCGGCCGCCATAGCTCTCCCCCAGGATCTCCCCTAAAATATTGGGGGGATCAATCGGCCAACCCTAACCGGCCGCGCTTTTTTATGCCACTTCCTTGAACCCTGGAAGTAGCCATCGCTCTCGGCCACTAAGCACATCCCCTTGTTGTCCACTCCTTGCTGTTTACTCCCTCGGGTAACACCCTTCGGCATTCCCCTTACCCCTTATTTCATAATTTTCATGTACGTATCTCGACTGGGTGGTGATATCATTTTTCCCAACCCAATTTAATTCACTGAGTTTCTTCGAAGAAACCCTGCCTATTAACCCCTTCATCACTTTCAACTAAACGTGCACAGTCGTACGTACATTCACATAATAGTTATGTATTACCCACAATGATAAATCATTACCGAAAGGGATTTTTATGAAAAATCAACATCGTTTGAAAGATCTCGATTAAAATTTGAGAAAGCACATTTTTTTGTATGCAACTCCACCTGGTGGGTATTTTGTAAAAAAATCCCGATTCTTAATCACGGTACTTCTCGTGCACTTCATGCATCGGTCGGCAATTAAGCCGAGTCCCCACATACGGAGCTCATGGTCGAGGACGCGTGTCGTCCTTGCACATTCGATGCGTGCAACTGCATGCAGGTTCCACCTGTAGTGAAGTGAAACGATATCGGGGGTGATATCGCCCCATATAAGTCCCCATGGTGGCGATCCGCATACATATCGTTCCCTTGGCAGCGCCGAGTGGCCCAAAGTGCTGCACCCCGACACGACCCCTGCATGCAACTGCACACAACCCCACAAGGGGTGGTTGGGGGTGCCGTGCATGGGGGTTCGCGTGGACAGATTGCCGGGATTTTTCCCTCTTTTGGGGTGCACCCAGAACTCCAGGAAGTTTCCTTTCGCCGTCCCCGAACTGGTTTCCCATGCAAACGGCGGGCTTCGCCGTTCGGCTGAAAGAGAACGCCAACGGTCGGCCATATTTTTTTTTTCCAGACCGGAAGTCCGGAAGTCCCGAGCATTTCTGGGACTCCCTGCCTTTTAATTCGATTTTCTGTTAGTTACCGTAGATATTATTTCGTGGAAAAACACCTTGTGGGTAGAAACAAAGATAAGTTCATTACCTGATTATAATTTTAAAGAACAAATCATACCGGCGAAGTCATATGCATTTTTTTCATATTGAAGGGGACGCGAAAGTGGTATCTGAGGGGTTAATCGTTCATGAAACTTTTTTCCAAACTGGCTATACCGAATCGTCTCAAACTTTACAACATAAATATGAAGGCTATATGAAAGGTCTTGACAAATATGTAATTTTGATTTTTTGATAACTTGTTTACAGATATACTTAAAATGTTGTATAAGAATGAAATCTCATGAGTGTCAGGACCTTCCTTATGGCCTCCGTATTCACGATGTAAAGTTTGAAACGATTCGGTACTTAGTTCGGATAAAAGTTTCATGAACGATTTCACCTGAGATGCCGCTTTCACATCCCCTTAAAGGAAAAAAGTAATGAAATTGCGTGATTTTAGGTTAATGACAGGTTTAGGGCGTGTCGTGTAGAAATATAAAGTCTGGTCATTGGAAAATTGTACGTTTCTGCCTTCAGATGCTTGGGGTTGAATGTAGAATGTAGAATAAGGTGCATAAAAATGTGAAAAATTCGGAAAGGGGGGAATTGTTTATACGAGTACAGGGATCGGGGTGTGTACTAGGGGATGGCGTAATTAATCCGGGGTGTTGACAAGTCTGACCTCGGTGCACCCTCTCGTTCTTCGACCAATCTGCGGACTCGACAGCCCCAAATGACACCCTCTGCGGCCCTCTTGCAAACTTCACGCGGAAACTTGTAATTATTTTCCCCGGCGCCCCTGAAGCTCGAGGGGCACCGGCTGGAACCCCAGCTTCGTTGGAGCGATCCCAGGATGGGACAATCTAAAGTTTCCTGTCCTCGGTGGGTGTCCTCGTCCTCTTGCGATATTTTTCCCGCCTCTTGACATCTGGGGAATCCTTGTTCCTTGGCACCTCCCAGGACACCAGGGTTAGGCCGCAGGTGAACCGTCGAATAAGTAGAACACGTGGAGACGCTTCTGGATAACACGCATTTACATTGGAATATTTTACAGATTTTTGGTAATTGTAACGGAAGGATTTTTGCGTGTAGAAACAACGTGACGCCTATATGTACACGCATAAAAATATTCGATTGAATCATATAGACAAAGAAATATTTAACCGAAACACTTCAGTTGAAAGAAATGAATTTGGCCAAGTGATCCGAAATCCGGCTGACTCAACCCAAACGTTTTTTGAAATTAATTAGTCGCAGTAAATCAGATGATTTTGTTAAATGAACCAAATTTCTTTCTGCATGTAGATCGTTTAAAAATAGGTTTTAATTCTCACGCATGGGAATTTTTCATATCGTCGTAATTATGCACGTACCTTTCGTGACTACCTGCGGTGATAAGTATTTAAAAGGGCCAGGTTGTGGAGTGATAATGGCCCCGGCCATTATGCGACATTTAATTGTACGTCGCTCGCATGACTAACCGTTGACTTGTATCCCTGCCCCGCGGTAATTGGCTAATCGTATACAACACTAACACTCCCTTTTTCTATTTCAGACATGTCCTACAAGCCGCGGCATCCCGTCATCGAGGGTAAGTTTCATGTAAATGACAGAAGTATGCTTTTGACCCGACCCATTATCCTAATCGACCCCTGTGATAACTGATTACGGCACCCTCGTGATAGGTTATCGAACGAAAATACTCCATTACAATCGATCATCGAGAAGCTGGAACTCCATTTCGTGCATTGTCCTTCTGACATTCGTAAGCTTTTCCAAAGCTGCTGACTTTCTTACCAAAAATTGAGATGTCTCTCAATTATCCGGTATTTACTTAAAGTTACCAGGAGCTTTCAGAAGGGTTTTGCAGTCACTTTCAACCCTTCCGATTCGACTAGTTCATTCCCAATCGCGGAGCTTAATGCGTTCTCTCTGTATTCAGTTATCACGTAGGTCGCACACGCTTTCCGCGTGCGCTTTTCCGCTTTTTATCCGCCCCTCCCCTCTAAAGCTCGTATTTCCGCGAAGCGATCGCACTCCGGGGTGCGCTCGGAGCTTCGGCAGCTTTTGGGCCTGGGACGTATAACTCGATCCCGCGGAACTTGCAGCTTGCGCCTCTCACCCCCGGCCGCGTGCGAACAATCTCAAAGGGGGTGCAATCATGCGAGGTACGATCAGAGCTTGCATTCTATTTTTCCAGCCCCTAAGGTCACCTTTTCCCCGGTTTCCATGCTTTCCCCGATGCGGCGTGCTCGCATATAGTTGTGGGAGGGAGCTTTACGAGCTTGCGGGTTACCTTGTTACTGAAACAACCTGACTATCCGACCGAAAGGAATGCATACCGATATGGCATAAAAGAAATCCCATACGCGGTACATTTGCATCCGATGTACGAACAGGTGCACCGGTCCATACGAAATTTTTCAGAAATTCGAGAAACAAGTAAACCACAATTATGCAGAAAATTAAGGAAATTTGGTCCAGAATCAGTGGACACCGCGTTAATCCTTGGTTTAGCAGAAAAGTGGAACGGTATCATGTAAGGGATGATTTCCCACCCTAGGAATGGTCTTCCAGGGTTTCTTTCTCTCCCTCCCTCTTTTTTTAGGGGCTGCGATATCTGGGAACACTGGAAAAACATTTTCCTGGCTCTGAATATCCGAAGTGGCGCTGGAATTGCATTAAGGAGGGGGTTGAGAGAACTATACCGAGGGCTTCTTTTTTTTCTTGGGGGGTGTTCTCTTTTTTCTTAAACCGGAAGGTGGGCTTTACGAGATCTCGTCTCTGGACCGGCCACAAGTGGATCGCTTTCACTCGTAAAGATCTCGCCGGGGCGTGGGTGGGAGGAAGGGGGAGACTTGTAAACGGTATCCGAATTGGTCCATACGCGAGCATATTTCATGGCGGTTTTATTACCGGGGCCCGTTCTCGACGCGACTTGCAAGTTCCCGATAGGGAATTTATTTCTCGATCGTAAATTTTCCATCGCCAGTAGTAAAGCCGCGGCTATGGTCAGCCGCTCGGGCCGGCCTTAGTCGCGTTTCCTCCACTGGCTTCGGACTGACCAAAGGAAACCAACCCCTCGACCTGCGACTTTCTCTCGATCGGACGAATTCACGGCCCGCTTTCCGTTGCGAATGGATTCGACCACCCCAGATCGTCGGGAACCACCCTCGACTTATCCCGGAAAAGTCCCGGGGTTCCCGGGGGAGGACGCCGGGTGTCTCCTCGAGGGTCGCCGGAAACGAGGTGTAAAGTTACGATGGACCTCGATCGCAAATCTTTAAGTGGATATTTTATGCCTCTCGGAATAGAAATGGCCACCTCCTCCACCCCGAGGAAGAGCCACCCCCTCGGTTTTCGCGGGGAACGACTGAAATCGCGCCTATGAAATCCCTCTTTCGATTTCATGGCTACTCGCGGTTCCCTTAAAATCCTCGAATTCCCCAAAATCTCTATTTTAATATCATGTTACAGAAGGATTTATAAACTACTTTCATTTTCAACCTCACGACGAAGAGATTCAATTCTCAAGTTGTTTGGGCTAGCTGATCAACTTGTTTCTTTTAATAATCCCATTTTACCTTCGGTCCTATAGGCCCTTCTTAGGAATTCATACGAGGAAAAATCTTCTTACCAAATTGAATAAATGTCTATGACAACCAAATCTTTCAAGCGGGCCACTTGTCTACACACATTGGATAATTTGTAGATTTTGTGGCGATGAGTCCGTACACTGAGAAAATAAGTAAAATTCACTGAACCGAAGAAATATTTCTTTGAATAGTACCATCGAAATATTTCGTTAATTCAAGGAATAATTATTAGACTGAAATAAACTGAAAATAAGTTGTCAAAATTCTGAATCAATGTTCCATCCAATTTATTTGAGTTTGAGTTATTCGTTGAGTCAGTCATTCTTTGAATTAACGAAATATTTCTTTGGTACTGTATTCAAAGAAATATTTCTTTGGTACTGTATTCAAAGAAATATTTCTTTGGTTCAATGAAATTTGTTCTAAGTGTAGATATAATTTGTATGAACGCGGGTTAGGGGAACGAAGAGTGACACTCCGGGAGAACAGCCGAGCGTCTCGGCGCCCGGATCGGCGTCCATGTAATTACCGGCGCCCGATCGGTCGTCTGCACCGCGGCTTAATTACCTCGCGGTGGAAACGAGGTTAGACAAACAGAGGGAGAGAGGGAGGTCGATCTCGGTTTAGGAGGCACGATATTGCGATCGGACATATTTAGCCGAGGGCTGACCTCCCTTCCTTGCGAAATTAACGTCGGAGCTTCCTCCAATATGGCGCAGGTATCCTCCGGCAGGATTTTTTTGACCGACCGAAACGCGCTTTTAATTGGCGGAAGAGTCATTTAAATATCGGCGAAAAAGAACGACGTATCAATTGCGGAATTAAGCGAGGTATAATTAAAATCGCCACTCGGCCGAAGGTACGAGTCATCCGGGACGCTTTTCGCGATAAGAAGGATAATGCTTCCCAGTGATTCAATTACGGCGCCTTAATTAATGTTAATTACATAATAATAGCCGCTTGCTAGATAGATGGCTCAGATAACAGGAAATGGGCTCCTCGGGGGCAAGAACGATTCAGCTATCGCGTTTATACTGAGTTTGTCGGTGTTCATCAAATTGTTATCACCCCCGCGCTCCCGATTTCTGATACCACTGATATGGCACTACTACGTAGCGGCGGAAGTTGGCGACTTCGTGTTTTACTTTTCTGGCAAACATCATTTTCGATCCCGGTAACGTGTGTCGGGAATTTCCGTCCCGAGAAAAGTTTCTAGGTGTACCGATAACCATACCGGGCGTCATGTTGTAAATCTCGAATGGGAAATAATGTTTATTTTAAAACGTGCGTAAAATAGGAATGCTTATTTTTAATGGCTGATAATTGTAGTCAGTATTCGATTTTCTAACCGCATTGCGTGTTCTTTTTTCTTTTTTGCGGTATTTTTTTTCCTTTCCGTTTCATTTTCCGCAAAATGGCGCACCTCATTTGGACATTTCCTGCGCCAGGTGGTGGGATTGCTCGGAATAAAAATGGCGCATCAATCGAGAGTCCATTTCCATAATTAAAATTTGTCTCCCCGGTCTGGTCGCCTTGTCTCTCGCGTTACACTTGGTCGGCACCCCCGACCCCCGCAAAGAATTAATTAGTTTCCGGTGGCGCCGCATTAATTCTCGAAAGCCGAGCAACTAATTAATATTCGAAGCGCACCGCCGGTGCTAATCAAATCCTAATTAATCCTCGATCGGCGCGACCGATTCGGGCCCTGGTGTACAAACTGCCGTAATAATAGCGGCGCGTTTTAGGGACCACTTAGGATTCCCCTCATTTCCCCCGAAAAAGGGATAAGAAAATCCCTACCAATCGTTAAGTCGAGTGTAAGGCTCTTTTTTAATTATCCCCCGCTTCTTTATTACCGTTCGAAGTCGTTAACGAACAAATTTTGGGATTCCGTGGATTTCCATCGATTTTCGAGTTTTTTAGTCAGCCTGAAAGCGTTAGCAAGACTCTCCTCGATTATTTACAGCCCTTTGAACGATTGCGCCGGGCAAATTGAAAGCGATGGATAATTTTTTCAAAACCTTTTTACCGAATGCTAAGCGACTGTACATTTTCTCCACCCCCTCATAATCCACGGGCCGCAAGTCTCTGAAAGCGAAAGAAGGGGGCACTAAAAGCTCGGATCGTTTACGAGCATTAACCCGCTTAGTCGCACAGCCAGATGAAAAAGTACTTTATCGAGCCGCGCCATTCCACCTTTTTACCTTCTCCCGATGAGATTCACATTTCCAAATAACTGTTACGGGGAATGCGCCTGTCAGGAATGGCTCAAAGTGGAGGTAGCAATTTGCAGCTCAATCATTGCATCCCGCCGAATTTATTTCAATTTTTTCCGACACAACAGAACTCTTGAAAATAATTCTTTCGTGTCTTCGAGGATGTGTTTGTTCCCTATAATTTTATTTCAATTCTTTCCGACACAACAGAATTCTTGAAAATAATTCTTTCGTGTCTCCGAGGACGTGTTTGTTCCCTATAATTTTATTTCTTGTACACGCAGAAAAATATTTCTATAATAGAACAAAGTACTTTATCGAGCCGCGCCATTCCACCGTTTTACCTTCTTCTGATAAGATTCTCATTTCCAAATAACTGTTACGGGGAATGCGCCTGTCAGGAATGGCTCAAAATGTCGGTGACAATTTGCGGCTCAGTCATTGCATCCCGCCGAAATTTTTTCAATTCTTTCCGACACAACAGAATTCTTGAAAATAATTCTTTCGTGTCTTCGAGGACGTGTTTGTTCCCTCTAATTTTATTTCTCGTACACGCAGAAAAATATTTCTATAAAACCGTGCAACCGTAGAATATGGTTGTTAGATTGACAACCGAATATTTGGTTGACACGACACAATTCATTCGATAATAACTTTCGGCTGAATACGCGAAACATCGTGGTCAATCGCCCCAAATGTCAAAGCAATTTGGTAGATTTAAACTAAATGTTTGGTTTATTAACGGAGATATTTCCTAAAGCTAACAATTCGACCGAACA